ATCCCCAACCCATCCCCACTGGCCAGAACACAGACACATAGGTTTGGACACATTTAATGGAAGGATGTGACAAACAAAGGAGACCCTTCTCTGGGGGTGGGGAGAGGGGGGAAATGTCATCTTTCAGACACACAATTATGACCATTCTTCCCCCACAGCCTTGCCCTTCTGGAAGCCCAAGCCCTTGAGTCCTTCCCTCTTCTCCCTCCCCTCCCCCAACACCCCAGGTCCTGAATTCCAAATCTATCAGACAGATACAAATGCATGCACACAATTCTAAGTGCTAATATGCACACTCGGTAACATGCACAGAGGGGCACAGACGTGTGCAGAAACCCACCTGTCCATACATGATAAGCAGACACACTGACATCTCTGAGAACACTTGCCCTCATTCTTAGACACACAGATTCCGGGACACATAGGTATGCAGAGCCAGCCGCATGATTAGCCATAATCGTGCACCCATAAATGGAAACCACAAATGCATTCATCTTTACACAGTGAGTGGCACAGGCCCTTCTGCTGTCATGGGCGTATACACAGGGCTATACATCTAGAGGCTTCCAGCCACACATGCACACAGTCACATGTCATGCGCACCTACAGAGACACATGGGCAAGAATACACCATTGGGGAATCCGTACAAGGACGCTCGCCAGTGTAAGACGTTCACGCACAGGGAAATTTCATCTCTGGTCGTGCACACGCACACGTCCACACACCCCCAGGCACCCCTTCCTTCCCATTCCTGACCCCGTGCCCTCCCTTCCCCTCCCCTCTCACCTCCCTGGGCCAATCCCATCCATCAAGCTTCTGAAGCAAGTCAGCCAGCAGGCAGGGAGGGGAAAGGTGTCAGTGTGCCCCTCTGCCCGCCCCCACCCTGCCTGGCCTGGCTCTGCCCACCAACACCCCCACCCCCAACACCAGTGTGAGGCATGGGATGCATACACTTCCACTGCACAGGACTGCACAGAGATGGGGCACATGAAGGAGACAAGGGCCTCCAGGCAGCCATACACACGAGCTCCTGGGGCACCGGGGCATCCCCCAAGGCCCCATCCACTGGGCAGTCTCCGTGGCTGCCAAGAGTGGTTTGGGACTGGGCTGTGTGGGCTGAAGGTAACTCTGCCTTACCCCATCCCTGGACCAAACTTTAGGGGGAGCAGAAAGGGGGGTTAGAGGTGGCAGAAATACTTAAAGGTAAAGTATTAAGAGAGGTTGGGGTGGGGGGGCACCCGAGGGTGTATGGACATTTACCTTGGGGCATCAAAGCTGTCGTAGGAGCCCACCGTATAATGCCGGAAGAGTCTCTTTGCCTTGTCACTGCGGCTTTCTGCAGGGGGACAAGGGATGACCTTGGACCCTCACTCAAAATCACAAGCCCATCCCTTAGGGGGCCTGGCCCAAGTCCTCCCATCTACCTCCCAGCACCCCCACCCCATCAGGAAAGCCCATGAAAACTCTTGGGTAAATCAAGGAATGCTGGGGAGTCCTCATTACCTTGCTTTCCTTCCTGGGAGCGGTTCGCCACCTCCTCCAGGCAGTCAGAGGGGAACCAGCCAACACGACCTTTGACCTGGCCTTCCCAGAAGCCTCCTTCCCCGATGCTAAGCACTGAGTGGGGAGCAGGGACACAGAAACATTTCTATATTTACATGCTGCCCCCACAGCCCTCCCGCCCTGCCTCTAACACACTCAATGCATGGCCTTCCCACCATGCCCCGAACCTAACACAGGGCCTGGCCTAACACGGGGCCCATGCCCCGAACCTAACACATGGGCATCCTTAATAAATGTCCATCGGGGTGGGGGCAGGGAGAACCAGATCATGTCATGCCTTCGTTCCAGCTTTCTGGATCCAATGGGGACATCAAGAGGCACTGGAGAATGGGCTGTGCCTGTGACATGGTCCTCACAGGTTAGGGACACATCCACAACTGGCCCTCATCCACCCTAGTAAATGGGTCATAGCTCAGTTTTGTAATTTCCCTAAACCCTCCTAGCTAGGTTCCTAGACCAAGTTCTATACCCTCATCATTGCCCCTCCTACCTCCCTTAGCCTCTGCCACCTAATCTGTGTCGTTTGCTCCCAGACCCTTCCCTCTGCCCCTCTGTGCTTCCTTGGCTCTAGAAGAGAGAAGGGATTAAAATCAGCTTTTCCTTCTCTCCACCACCCCTCCCTGAAGGCCCCTTATTGCTGGCCTCACCTTTGGGCCCTGTAGCTAAGATTTTCCGACTGCCTGCCCTGTGCCTGATGCTGCCGTACTTAGAACTGAAGAACTAAGATAGGTGACAGGCACAGCTAATGTTTATCCAGAGCTCACTTGGGACCAGAACCCTAAGAACCACTTTTATTACTCCCACCATTTTACTGATGAGAAAGCTGAGGCTCAGAGGGCCCAGGCATTTGCTCAAGGTATGTGGCTTATAACTGACAGAGTCTGCATTCGAACACAGCTCTGTTTCCAGAGCAAATGCTTTAGTCGCTAAGGTTTCATCAGTCAGGGTTGCTGCTGATTCTGACGATGATCACAGCAGCGGGACAAGCCCACCACATTCCGTCTCCCCAGCATTGTTCAGGGCTCTGTCCCTACCCAGGCCTGCACATCTTTCCTCCCTCAACCCTCACGCCAGCCCGGGTGGGTAACAACCGAGATCCCATTTTATAGATGAAGAAGCAAAAACTAAAGTAGCCAAGTCCCTTCCCCAGAGGTGGCTGGAGCCGAGCTAAGATGTGAGATAGGGCCATCTGATGCTTTCCCCACACAAACCGCCTCCCTTGAGAGGATCTAGGGGAAACCAAATCAAGGAGATGCTCCAGGTCATGGAAGGGCGCAGGAGAGGGTCTGGGCTCATGACTGCTCTGCCATGCCTGGCTGGGTGGTCTTCGAATTGATCATTTGTTCACTGAACAAGTATTTATTTAGTGCCGATCATGAGGTATACATCAGGTACAGTTGTTGGGCACAGCAGACGTGGTCACTGCACTCGGGGAGTGTCCACACTGGACATTATTAGAGGAGCAACTGGACAAATGACCGCATGATTGGAAATTGAGGTCAGCGCTCAAGGTGAAAAGGACAGGGTATCAGGAGACGGGCCAGGTGGGAGTACCTAAGTTCGATGGCAAAGGGGGACCAGGCTGGCGCTCTGGAGGATGTGACATATAGGCTGAGACCTCAAGGGTCCTAGGGTTAGAAGAGGCAAATAGAGGAAGGGAAGGTTGTCCAGGCAGAAGGACTGGCATAGCACGGAGCTTGGTGTGGGAAAGGGCTCGGGGCATTTGTGGGACAGAGAGAAGGATGGGGTCCCTGGAGAGGGAAAGAGTGCCGCAAGCTGAGGTTAGTGGCAGGCTGGGGAGGCCCTTGCAGGCCAGGCTAAGGCACTGGGCCTTGATCCCCAGAGCAGAGGGAAGCTGCTACCTCGTGGGCTGTGGCAACCTCGGTGACATCGTGGAGGTGGGTGTGCTCTGAGGCAATTTGGTGTCTGTGAAAGGGAAGGCTAGACAGGGAAGTCCGTGGAAGTATCGGGCTTGAAGTTCGGAAAGGCACATGGGAGATACCCCCAGGGTCCTCTGCTTGCCTGAAGGTCCCTCACTCCTGGCAAAGCACAGACCTGGTCCCCACACAGGTGTACACACGCAGATCTGCACACACACTGCCCTGGCCTCCGCAGTCAGCTCCCAAATCTGGCCATTCATTAATTCATTCACTCAGCAGACGTGCATTGAGGCCTCATATGTGCTGGGTCATTAAACTCTGCCCTGGTAACCCAGAGACCAGTGACATGTGACCTTGCCTTCAGGAGCGGAGGCAATGGGAAGGAAGACTACAAAACACAACTCTCCTGATGTTCTGACCCTTACAGACCCTCCAAGACCCCAAACTCTGACTCCCCTGGGAGGAACCCCGGAACCTCTCTCCTTCAAGGCAGCTGGAGTCTCTCCCCTCTAAGTGCCTGTAGCAGGGGACCGCTTATGATTCCGATGGCTGGCACCGATCATGTACAAATCATTGTTCCAGCTTTACGTGAGCTGACTCTTGTAATCCTCACAAAGACCCCATTTTACAAATGAGGAAACCGAGGCCCAGAGACATCACTTGCCTACGGTCACCCAGGTAGGAAGTGGTGGAGCCAGGATTTGAACCCAGGCATCCTGGCTCCCATCTGCTCAGCTCCTCTGCAGCCTAGAGTGGGGCAAAGACCTGCTCTCTGCCTCGTGTTGACAACCACGTCTGCAGCTGCTTCGCCAGCCCTGAAGCATCATTCTACCCAAGAACACCCATCACCAGCCCTGCCATGTCTGCACGTGGGGGCTCCCGGAGTCGTTTTCCAGATGAAGACAGGAAAACCGAAGGAGACAAACCCTGAAAACAGCTGCTGCCGCTGAGGGAGCCCCAGGCATGGACCCGGCTTTGCAGAGCCCCACGAGGTAGGCACCACCCCGTTTCTCGGATGAGAGCATATGGTAGAGGGTGGAAGTGAAGTCAAGGAGGTTTGGCTTCGCACTCTGCCCAAGGCGGGCGGAAAGGCAGTGGGCTCAGAGCAGGAACCTGGGGCAAGTCACCTCACCTGTGTGAGGCTCGGCTTCTTCACCTGTACTCAGGGCTCCTGACACCCTCCGACGGACAACCAACCAGGAGCGAGGTGAGACCCACTGAGTGCCCCATGTGGTGCTGGTGGCCCCAAATGCTGCTCACTTCCTCATTTTTGGCTCAACACCGCCCCTTGACAGCCCCATGTCAGCTGCACTCTGCTCTCCGAGGCAGAAGGGGCGCGTCTAGGGCTCCCTCAAGTCTCCAAAGGGCCTGGGACGTCCTAGGGGCTCCAGGACTGTTTGTCACTGTCCTGTCCCCTCCCGAAGGGGCGAGCTCCCCGGCCCGGCCCCGCCCACAGCCCCACCCCCTTACCTTTGATTTTCTCTCCCTTGCTTAGGGAGATCTCCCCCTCGGCCTGGGCCTGGTAGGACTTCACAGCCATGAAGGAGCGCCCGGGGACCGCTGAGTAGAGCTTCCTGCGCCTCCCGCGGCTGCCCAGGGAGCCCCCAGGGCCCCCCGAGCCCCCCGTGCCCCCGGCCGGCCCTTCCCGGGGCGTCCCGCTGGAGCTGCGCACACAGAGGGTGTGAGAGGCAGAGGAGAGTGGGGGGAGGGGCACCTCTGGGAGAACAGGGGTCCTTGGGGGGGAAGATGGAGCACGGGGTGGGGGAGGGGTTTCAGTGGGCTTCCAGCTCTGGCATCCTGGGGGAAGAGGGGACCGGGAGCTCCCTCTGCCTGCCTGCTGCTGTCCCCCAGCCCACCCTTCTGCCTCCTGCCTTCCAGCTGTGCCCCTCCTGTTCCTGAAAGTTTGCCTGACTCAGCTTCCTGAAGCTGAGCTCCAAAACCTGTCATTCCTCAGCTCAGGAGCCTTTGGTGACTCCCAGCTTCCTCCCGGGCTGGGTCCAACTCTACCCGCCATTTCCAGCTCGCCATGAGCTTCCCCACTCCCACGTCCTCAGGGCCAGCCTGGCCTCCTTACTCCAGAATGGCCCCTGCCCTCCTCCCCTCTGCCCCAGAGTGGCCCCTCTGCTCCTCCTCCCCACTCTCTCTTCCTCTGGTCTCTTTTCCAAGCTGGGACACCCCTCCCCAAGTCCCTCACCAGCATTTGGGGAGGGGTGTGGGGCTCATGATGCCCTCTGTTCCTCGAGGGTCCGGAGAGAGATTTGGAGGCCCGAGGTTGGGACTGGGACTTGGATGGATGGGGGACCAGCCATATGCAGACAGGAGGTGGACAGCTGGCCTGGCCTGGCCTGGTTGGGGGACTGAGGCTCCAGGGAGCGGATTCTGTTGGGTTGGGGTCTGTGGGACTTGGGCTGGGCCCTCCCCTACCTGGGCCGTCCACGGGGCTGCCTCTTGGCTTCCTCGGGGTGCCTTCCACGGGATGGGGAGCGGGCTCGGGCTCCCCGGGGACTGCTGGCACTTCGGAGGGTCCCGCTGCTGAGCTTGGTGCTGGGGGCCGAGGGCTGCGACTGGCCCTGGGGCCCTGAGGTAGGACCAGGAGCCCCAGAGGATGAGGTCCCCGGGGCGGCGAACACCATCCAGTCGGGAAGGGCCATGCTGGTATCACTGTTGGCCCGCAGCAGAGCCGGGGGCACTGTCAGCCCTGCACCTGGGGGTCCCCGTCGCCGGGCCGCGTACTTGGGGGACTCCTGGAAGGGCACTGAGAGGGCGCAGTGGCAGGAAGAGGCAGGTAGAGGAAGATGGAGGCCAGAGACAGGGGAGAGGCAGGAAGGGAGAAAGAGAGATGAGAGAGTGAGGGCCTGGGATGGGCCCCCTACCTCTCCTCAGAAGCTCACGGTCCTCCAAGATTGCTTCGGGCTCATCTTGACACCCACATCAGGTCGGAGGACTCCCTGGCCCCACCCCACACCCCCAAGTGCCCCAGCATGTCCCCTAGCCCAGCTCCCGCAGCTCACCCACGTCCTGCTCTCGATGGTTCCGGATGAGCTCCCCCAGTTCAAAATTCCCAGCGATCACTGCCACCTGGGGGTGGGGGTGGGGGTGGGCAGGGAGGTGAGGTGGCTCAGGGGCAGCCACAGGGAGAGACAGACCACAGGGCAGGACGAACTGTGGGGTCCCGGCCGGCTGACCCACCCCCGCCCTCCCCTTCTCCCAGCCTGTCCCCCAGCACCCCCAGCTGCCCACTTCCCTTCCCCCCTCCAAGAACGTCCTCCCCACTGGACCCCACGGCCCCAGACCTGGAAGGGCGTCTGTCCATTGTTGTTCTTCACGTCTTTGTTGGCCCCCCGATAGAGGAGGATCCTAGCACAGGTCTCCTGAGGGTGACGGCCCGTGGCACAGGGAGCAAGGAAAAGAGGACACCTTCACCACGAGTGGGCACGGGCTCTGCTGGCGATCTCGGCAGCAACCTGCTCTGAGCCGCCCGCCCAGGACGGCGGCCATTTGCCACCTGGGGCGCCTGAGCCCTTGCAGCGTGGCCGGTCTGAACTGAGGTGTGCTGTGCATGTAAAACACACACCAGATTTTAAAGCCTTAGCCTGATAAAAAGTAATTTAAATATCTCTAATAATTCTTAGACCGATCATGTGTTGGAATGATAACATTTTGGATACAATGGGTTAAGTAAAATATGCTACTCACCCAAGTGTCACTTGTTTCTTTTTTCCATTTTTTAAAATGCAGCTCCTGGCATGTTTAAAATTACACCTGGGCTCCCATCATATCCTGCTGCACTACAGACATTTGGGGCTGGGTAGTTCTTTGTAGTGGGGGCCGTACTTAGCAGCATCCCTGGGCTCTACCACTAGATGCCAGTAGCACTCCCTCCGAAGTCCTGACAACCAAGAATGTCTGCAGACATTGCCAAATGTCCCCCCCGGGGGCCAGAAGCATCCAGTCAAGAGCCACCAAGCTAAACCTCTTGGAGAACTTACTGAGGTGCTCGCCAGGTGCCCAGCACTTTAGAGGCAGAAGCTCCAAAGTGAATCACCCAATGTCATATGATGGAAATTATTGTCTCCATTTTACAGACGAGGGAACTAAGGCTTAAAAGGAAGCTCAAGGTCACACAGCTGTCGACTTATCACCGCTTGGATTCTAAACCAGGTCTGTCGGACCCTAGAGCTCCTACTCTTAATCGCATACTCTGCTAGAACCAGAAGGAAGGGGGGCAGTGGGGACCAGGGCTGGGCAGCGGGGGAAGGCAGGCCATTCACACCAGATCGATTCCTTACCAATGTCAGCCACAACATGTCACTCAATCCCAGTCTTTGGATCAAACCCAATATCCTTGCCATCCTAGGACCCCACCTGATCTGCCCACCCTACTGCCCCCAGCCTCACCAGCTTCATCTTCTACCACCTTCCCTCACTCCCCATACTGCAGCCTCCTCCTTCCTCTTGCCCCAGGGCCTTTGCACCTGCTGCCCCCTCACTTAGAGTTCTCTGTCCCTAGGTCTCCCTAGGGCTCACTTTCTCACTTTATTCAGGTTCTTGCTCAAGTGTCACCTCTTCAGAGAGGGCTGACCACCCTGTCGAAAATAACCCCCGTTCCCTTTATTTTTACTTATTCATTTCCATTTATATGAAGCCTGCTATGTACCATGCATTCTTTTAAGCCAGTACCAATCATTTTCTCCCTGAAATTGCATTTCTATTATACTTGACTCTTTCAGGTCTCTCTCCCACTATATCGTAAGTTTCACGGGGCCACGATTGTGGCACCATCACCTAGACTAGTGGGTGGTTCATAGCAGCTGCTGAATAAACAGCTGCTGAAGGAGAATGTCCTCATCTGGTGTCCTGGCCTGGCCAGACCCAACCTGGCCCCCAGCCCAACTCCTCTCCAGCTCCCCCTGATGTGAATTTAATCAGCATTCACCAAGCACCTCCTTGCGCTGACCCTCTGCATGTGACAAATCCACCAAGGATGCTCGTATGGACCCCATCCTACAGGACAACCTCAGAGAGGGCTAACTGATGCCCCAGGTCACACAGCCAGTGAGTGCAGCAGCTAGGACTCAAACCTGACTGTCTAATCCTAGTACTCATCTATTTTCTGGGAATGCACAACTCCAATTGCCAAAGTCAGTCACTGGAAAACAAAGATAGCCCAGTGAGTTTTCTGGGTGTGTTTGTGGGTGTGAGTGCATGTGTGTCTGTGTGTGCACATGCTGGGCCCCCCCAACTACAAAACTGCCAAACTACTGTCCTATGTGTGTTTGCCTGTCTGCACGCCCCCACCACTGCCTTGCCTAGCACAGGACCAGAGCATCTCCACCAGCTACCGGCTCTCAAGAACCTTGAATTTACTGGTGTCCTAGCACTTATCTCACAGTATTGCAACTATTTGTTTACACATCTGCCTCTTCGCCAGACTGTGAACTCCCCCCACCCTCCCCAGGGTAGGCACTGTGCTGTGCTTGGTTCACATCTCACATACAGGTACACAGTAGGTGCTCAAGAAATGTGCACGGAAGGGATGAGGATGGAGGATGTCAAGCTGAGTCATTTGAAATTCATTTGTTCATGTCATTCATTCATCAAGTCATTCAACCTGGAAGCAAGCATCTGTTAAATGTTCTGAGCTGGACTGTACAGTCTTGGGGGAAATCCAAGGTGACTGAATAAATTCATTCATTCACTCACAGACTCATTCAACAAAGATGCATCTAGGCCTACTATATGCTGGGGCCTTGGGACAGAGTGATCAATCAGACTTAGCCCCCATCCTCGAGGAGCTCAAGGAGGGAGAAATGACTGGCTAATCTAACAGCCTAGACCTGGACCTGACCTTCACCACTGGGGACTAGAAGGGCATGCCAGGGGGCAGGGGGAGCAGAGAGCCAGGAAATCTGTCAGACCCAGCTCTGGCCCTTGGAAAGCTTAAAGCCTGGGAGGGAAGAGAAGAGGAAAGAAGTGGGGGAAAAAAAGGCACATTTGTGAAGCACCTATTTGTCAAGCCCCATGCCCAGTTGGCATTCACCAAGCCCAGGTCATGCCTCTACTTGATCCTTTGCACAATAGGTATTACTAACCCACTTCACAGATGAGAACGGGGAAGCTCAAGGAGGGAGAAATGACTGGCTCATCTAACCAGCTAAGAGTAATTGTTCTCACTATATAACTCTTCATACTGAATTTTCCCTGTTCAAATTAACGGTATGGCTTCTGTTTCCTGACTGGGTCCTGACTGATAACGATAGTGATAATGACAATAATAATTAGTATGATAGCCGCCTTCGAGGGATGAGCACTTAATATACATGATCCTTCATCCCCTTCAATCAGCTGACGTTATTGCCAGTTCAGGGAGAGGACGGAGCCTCAGAGAGGGGCAGGGGCTTGACTGGGAGGCCTTGGTCTGCCCACAGGCCATGCAGTCAGGGAATCCAGGTGCAAGGCTGTGTCAGGGAGCAGGAGAGCCTGGGGAGGGGAAGTGACAGCAGGGTGTTGGTTGCATTTGACAACACTGAGCTCTCCCTCGGCAGAGCAGGCTGCTTGCTCCACAAGGTGGCACGTGGCTGCCTGCCACATCTCCCAGGCACTGCAAGTTCTAATGAGGCAGAAGGGGCTGGGGCTGTCTTGGAAGCCTTCCTGGAGGAGGCCTGAAGGGCAGACGAACTGGCAGCAGCATGCCAGGCCCTGTCCTCCCCAGTCCCTGAAGCAACCCTACAAGAGTGGGGGCTTTGGGAGACAGCAGGGGCGACTGAGGTGCCGAGAGGGCTGACCTGGCGCACGGGTGGTAAAGGGGCAGAGATGCTCAGGCGGAAGGCCGGAGGGTCACCACAGCACAGGCAGAGCGGCCAGGTGAGACCCTGAGGCCCCCTGCTTGCTTTTCACTGTTAACCTCTTGCAACTCCTCAGGTGGGGGCCCTATGCCCAGCCCTGAAATGCTAAAACTTGCCACACATTCTTGTCCTCTCCAGGGCTGTGGTTTGGCCTTTCCTCTGTCCCCTGCAGTGTCCCCAGGTGCACAGGTGCACGGTAGGTGCTCCACTGGCAGCTGAATGAAGATGCCCAGGAAACAGAACCACACAGCCCCTTGGCCTCCAGTAACAGTCCTGACTTTCCCCGCTGGGTTTTGCACAGGCTGTGATCTCGGCCTGGGACACCCTTCTCTCTCTTCTACTTGGCCAACTCCTGCTCATCTTACCGCAGGTGGCACATCATCCGGAGAGCCACCGCTACCCCACCTGCAACTCTGAGCCCAGATCTGGGCTCCCACAGGGACCCGGACTCCCTGTGATGTCCCTCTGAACACAGCCCCGGATGGAGAGGCTTGCTCAATACTTGCTCAGGGTCTGACACAGAAGAGCTGCTGGGTAAATAGTTGTTCAATGAATGAACGAATGAATGAATGAATGAAGCAGTGAAGGAGCAGAGGGCACAGGGAGGCTGGATGCAGGAGGAGGGTCTGGGCAGACGCTGCAGGGCAGACCTTGTTGTAGAGGGCACAGATGTGCAGCGCCGTGTTCCCCGAGGCGTTCTGGGCGCCGGGCTCAGCCCCGTAGAAGAGCAGGTGCTCCAGGTGCTGGGAGTTACCCCGCTGGCAGGCCTGGGGAGGAACGGGGCCAAGCAGGCCAGTCAGCCCCTCCTGACCATGGCGTCTGTCTGTGGCCCTCTCCTCAAGGCTAGGAAGCCCCTCAGCCACTCCCCTTCTCCTTTCAGCCCTCGTTCCTGCTTAGGGGCCCAGGCTGTCGACTTCACGACTCATTCCAAGGCCCAGGTGTCTGGCCTGTTCCCCGGATAGATCCAAGACACAACCCCATCCATCTCAGGGATCAAGGTGTTCAGCCCCCAACCCACGCCCCCTTGGGGCCCCGCTGTCCGTATCCCTATCTTTTCCTCTTTGGGGACCATGCTGCTCCAACTCCCACCCTCTGTGAGGATCCCAATGTCTGGTTCTACAGCCCCTTGGGCCAGGGTCCCTGCTCCCTGTCCCTGCGAGGGCCAGGCACACTCCCCACCCCACCTCCAGTCCCTCCCAGCTGTTGGGAGGCTGCACCTGGTGGATCTCCTGCCAGCCGTTCTCGTCAGCTATGCCCAGCTGGGCCCTGTTGAACAGCAGCAGTTCACAGCAGCGGGGGTCACCCCCCACCATAGCCGTGTGGAACAGAGGTGTCAGGCCCCGGCGGTCCTTGTAGTTGGGGGAGCCCCCGAGGTCTAGGAGCGCCTAGGAAGGGAGAAAAGGCAGATGACAGCCACATGAACACCGGCTCAGTCTGAAGAGCCAGCATGGGGTGGGCACTCCTGGGTGACCCCCATGGGCCGATGCCAGACCTGGTTCTGCCAGGGTGCCCTTATGTGACCTGGAGCCTCACCTTTCCCCTCTGGGGCCTCTCTGGGCCTCTCTCATCCCCTGTGAACAATGAGGAGGTTGGGAAATGCCTCCAGAGGACCCTCCCACTCAGACATCTTGCCCAACCTTCCCCGTGGGTGACTCTGCATGAACCACTGATGGGGTTCATGGCTTCAGTCCCACCTATGCAGCAGGATGGTCCTAGGGGGCAAAGGCCAGAATGGAGTCTGGATGCAAGAGGGGCCCCGGCCAAGAGGGAGGTCTTATTAGCACCCAGGGATGGGGCACAGAAGGAGGCGTGGGAAGGGCAAGCTTGGCTTAAGGCAGGTTGGGCCTCACTCAGGCCAAGGGCTTGGGGGCAGGGGTCCCACTCAAGACACGGCTCTGGGCACAGAGGCTGGTGGTGGCAGTGGTGAGCGTTAGGAGGAGAGGGTGTTGGCAGTGGCCCTGTGTGCGGACAGCCTGGTGGAGTGTCCAGTGGAAGCGTGCAGGGATGGAAGCAGCCTACAGCCAGTCATCCAACATGGCAGCCACGTGTGGGCTCCTCAGAGCTCCAACGTGGCTGGTGAGCCCGAGGAATGGCAGTTTTCATTTTAGATCATTTCAATTTACACCTGAGCAGCCCCATGTGGCTATGGGCTATTGGATTGGACAGTGTAGGTCTGGAGGCTAGGGGTTGGGGTGGGAGCGGGATCTGGGGCTGGGGGTACATAAAGACGGGCTCTTGATTCCCAGGGGTATGAGGCAGATCTTTGTGGCTGGTGTTTGACCACATTTAAGGGTCTTTAAGAAAGAGCTGGAGAAAGGAAAGAAGGGTCCGTGAATGAGGGGGTTTGCGAACAGCCACGCATCTTTGGGAGCAGTCCATCCTGACCTGTGTATGAAGCAGGATCAGGGGCTCTTGGGCAGGGGGAGAGGAAGAGTATTTTAAAATAGGATGGTGTCAGCAGACTCCATGTATGCACTTCACAGGTATGTGGGGCGCTCTATTGAGAAAGCACATTGTAGGCACCGTGCGAAGGATGGGGCTGCACTGGGACTTGAGAGGAGGTGGGTGGACCTCTGGGTTGGGAAAGACAGAGGGAAGGGGTATGTCTGCAGGGGGTGTATGGGGAGGGTCTGTATTTGGGGGCACAGCAGGGAGCTTCCTCTACATTTTAAGGAACGCAAGGAGGGTCTACACCACAGGGAGACAGAGGGAGGGTTGGTGTTGAGCTGGGTCAGAGGGAATGGAGAGGTTCTGGTGCTGGGAGAACATGAGATCTACCTGAGCATAGGGAAAGGTCCGCATGCCGATCAGCTGTAGGGTGGGTGCACCTGGGGGCCTGAGAAGGGCCTCGGATCCCACCGGACGTGTGACAGTGAGGGCTGTGTATCTGTCAGTCTATGGAAAGGGGCGTAGTATTCGGGACACGAAGAAGGGCGACTTTTAACAAAAACTAAAGAACGAGGGTTTAGGAAAGAACAAATGGAAAACGAAGAGGAACCTGGGAAGAAGCACACACCCCCCGCGGAGCTTGGGAGGGCACGTCTAGGAGGCCAGGACGGAGGCAAAGGGGAGGCCACAGGGCTGGGGGAGGTGGGCAGGAAGGCAGGAGGGCGGGTCTGGGGAGTTCACTGGGTACAGCCTGAGGGGAAACAGCCATCGGGGGCGTCTCTGGGCTCTGGGAGAGGGGCTGGGGCGGTGGCTGGCACCTCACCGTGAGAGCAAGGCAGTGACGGGCACACGCGGCCTTGTGCAGTGCAGTCATGCCATCCCGAGCCCGGAAGTCAATGTGGGCGCCACCCAGGCACAGGGTTCGAATCACCTCCACAGAGCCTTCTGTCTGGGCTGCCAGTGTCAGAGGGGTCTCTGAGGGGTGGGAGAGGCCAGTCACTTGTACCGCCTGTGCCTCATTCTTAGCTCCCCACCTCTCCCAGAGCCCCCAGCCCCTCTCCCTACCTCCTGAATCCGAGTCATGATAATTGGGGTCCAGTCCCTTGTCCAGCAGCCGTGCCACCTTGTCAGATGTCCCGAGCTGCACGTACTCCAGAAACTTCTTCAACCCCGTCTGAGCCATGGACAAGACAGAGAAGACAGGCCGGTCAGAGAACAAGGGGGAACAGCTGGGGTCTTGAGCGGCGCTGTCCGGTGGAAACACAGTGAGCCACATATACTACTGGGAAGTCTCTAGGAGCCACCTTCAAAACAGAAGGAAGGGTAGCTGTCGCTTGTACTGACATTCATTTTAATGACACGTTTTTAACCTAGTATATCCGCAATATTACTGTATCGACAGGTGAATTAGAATGAAATTTATTAAGGAGATAATTTACTTTTTGGGGGGTACTGAGTCTTCGAGATCCAGTGTGTGTTTCACACTCACAGCGTGGCTTGGTTTGGACCCGCCACGCCACAAGCGCTGCATGTGGCCAGTGGCTCCAGGAGTGCACAGCGCAGGGCTGGAGGGATGGAATATTTGGGGGAGGACAGAAACGAATCCATGGTGAGGCAGGGGCCTGGAATGAGAGAGACCAGGGCTTTTCCCCCAAGTGACAAGAATCCTTTACTTTACCTCTGACCAAAGCAGTCCCCCAGCTTCCTCTGAGCTCTTAGGGGCCAGGGGAGCCACAGGAGACATATGGTCCAAAGACCAGACAGCAGGGTACCAGGAAGAGAGGTGTGGCCGGGGAGGGGGCACCCCTGGATTGGTAGAGATTTAGGCTCTGAGATCAGGTATCTATGAAACATCCCTGGGCAGAGAGGGACACTGGATGGCAGAGTCCAGGCCAGGGTGCTGGAAGGTACCTGAGTGGATATGGGGGGCCCAGGAGCTAAGATGGGAGAGTCCAAGAATGAAGAAAGTGGGAACCAAGTGGAAATGATGCGGATCTGGGAAGAAGACTGCGAGACCAAGAGGAAAGATAAGGAGGTTTGTGATGGGGATATGGGGGTGTCCTCCAGGGCTGCCCCAAATGCAACATGGCATCCCAAGTTAAGTAGGGGGCCCTGACAGAGGAACAGAAGCGTTGGGAGATGTGGAGAGCTGCTGGGAAGGGGCGGGAGAGAAAGTGGTTGGGGTGCTGTGGGGGTAGGGAAGGGCCTGCATGGTTCTCTCACCTTCGTGTGTAGCTTGGCCAGCTGCTTCTCATCCAGGTTGGTCTGTTTGTAAACTCGGGTCTTGTATCGGAACTGTGACCGGTGATGTACGAAGGGAGAGACACAGAATCAGGGGGTCTGGGGAGGAGACTGGACCCCCTTCTGAGCCAGGGTCAGCGTGGAAACAGCCCTGGAGTTTTGGCTGGGTGGGCAGGGGGGTGTGGGGTGGCTGCGGGGTGTGCGGACTACAACCCCTAATGGGAAACAGAGTCTGAATCCACAGGGAATGTTCTTCAACACCTGCAGTAACTGGGAATCTTTTCCCACTGTGACTAGCAGGGAAGTGACTCGCCCGAGGCCACTCCAGGCCGCACAGACCTGCTCTGAACTCTCTGGCTCTGCTTCTCAGGTGCCCTGACCTGGCTCAGGTCTTGGCTGGGAGAAAAATGGGGAGACGGATGTGTCACAGGACACCCCTTCTCTCATCTGGGGGAAGGCTGGGGCCGCACCTCCAGGTAGGGCACTCCCTTCTCAAAGGACTGGGGGTACTCCCGCAGCAGCCGCTCCTCCTCCAGGAAGTTGGCATCCCTGCCCGAGGTGGCAGGCTGGAACAGGCCATAGTTGAGCACATCCTGGAGGCTCTCGCTCAGGGCACAGAGCACCTGCTGCTTGGCAGTCCAGATGGTGGCATCAGGGTTGAAGCGCAGGCATTTCTGGTGGGGGAGGCAGTAGGGAGGAGCCTGGTGGTTTGGGAAGGCGGTGGGGTGATTCTGGGGACAGCTGGGGCATCTGGGGCAGCATGTGGGGGTCTGGAAATGGGGGCCAAGTGGGGGATACCAGCGCCAGAGGCCTCCTCGGGTAGGCGAGGCCCCTGTTGTCATCCTATGACCCCCACCCCGGGCCAGCCAGCAGGTGGTCACTCACTGTCTGGTGCAGGTCTGGGATGCCAATCCTGAAGACCATCATGCTGAAGTGGGCGTCGTCCGGGACAGACATGGAGCGGCCCTGGAGGCCTCGGACTGAGGCCAGGCTACCAGGTACCCCGCTGCCCTGGCCCCGGGGCCCCCTGGGGCCTCTCCCAGGCCCGTCCGGGGAGCTGTCGGACTCTGAGCCCCCCTCGGGACACTCGCTGGCACTGTGACGTTCCTCGTCCTCGCTGGACACGGGGCTGTGGGTCATCGTGGGGCCACGGGGCGATGGGGGACAGCAGCATCACAGGCGGCTGCGGGGGGCCGAGGGTGGCTGTCAAGACTAGGAGTCTGGGACCCCTCCAGGCACCACTTATGGCTAAATGGTCAAGGGCAGCCACCCCATGCGCCTGAGGTAGGCAGGAAGGAGGCTGGACACACCCCCAGATGCTCTGGGCACGTCCACACACTCACACACCCACCCCTGCCACGCTTCCAGCACGTCTCCTTCCCTGCCCTTGGCCCTGCTCGCAGCCCCCCACCCTTCCTGCGCCCCACTTTGCCGCTGACCCAGCGTGGCAGTGTCCCAGAAACCACAGAATCACCGCGGGAGCTACTGGCCCACTTTGCCAGGCCACGGAAAATATAGCTAAAATTAGCTGAGCACAGACAGGTGGACAACCCACCGGCATCCTGCCCTCCTGGCCCCAGCCTGGCCCCTCCCCTGAGGCCCTCCCAGCCTCCTCCAGGAGAGCTGGGGTGGGGGTGCTGGGATGTAGTAAAGAGGAGACAGAGGTGCCCTGCACTAGGGGGAGGCAGAAGTGAGTGGCTGGGCATCTGCATGGCCGCTTGGCGCTGGGGCACCGGGGCACGGGTGAAGCCAATGGAGCTAGTGACTTTCCTGAAGTGCAGCTGACAATGTGTGCAGAGGGCTGCTGGGAAGCAGTGTCTCAGGCAGTCGGGGCACCAAGCTGGAGTGTCCTGGGGCAAAGCACCATGCATGGGGTGTCCCCAGGGAACCAGGAGAGGCAGTGGGGGGGGCCTGGATGGGTTGTTGGGGGCATCTTGACAGTGGGTGGGTGGGGAAACTGGCCTGAAAGGGCTGTTCTGGTGACAGAAGTGCCAAGGCCTGGGCCATCGGGTGGCTGTGAGTGACCTGTGGGTGCATTTAGGGACTGCCGCTTAAGGCTGGGTGGCTAGGCATTGCCAGGCACTGGAGGCTCCATTCTGAGGGAGACTGGGAGGCTGGGAGGGAGGCCAGGAAGTGGGGTGAAAGTCTGGGGGACCAAAGTGGGAGTGATGCTCCAGATCCCCATTATTATCCTCTGAGGTGGCCTTATAAGGGTGCGTCCCCAAAGGGGTCTGCCTTCCTCTACTTGACCCCCACCCCCATCCACCCCAGCACCGGAAACCAGAATGTCTGGTCTGGTCCCTCCCCCCCACACCAGGCCCGGCTCCTGCGCCGTTGCCATGGAGATGGGAAGCAGTGGAGGGTACTGCTGACTTTGGGGGAGCAGGGATGGGCTGGGGGGTTGGGGGAGAGAAGAAAAGTGTGTGTGTAGGGAGGGGAGTTCCAAGGGCTGTGGGCGAGTGAGCGCCTAACCACTGGCTGGCCAACCCTTCCCCAATGCCTGGCGGGGCTTCGAAGCCCCCTCCTCCTCCAGGCACCCAGCAGCGCCCGTCCCACCTTGCCCAGGCAAAGACCCCAGCCTCCGACCCACTGAACTCCACATCACACCTCCAGACCTGGGGCGCGCAGCCACTCCCCCTCGGCTGACCCTGGCTGACCCTCAGCCACAAGCAGGCACTTAATGGGGTGGCCAGGGGGATGAAAGCAAAGCCGGCCCAGGACCCCGACCGTGCAGCTGCCCCCAACCCCCAGGACCAGCTCCGGCCCCTCCCCCTCAGGCCCCGCGGGAGGGAGCGGGCACACTCCGCCGGGGCGGCATGAATCAAACGCTCCGCGGCTAAGAATAGCTGGCACGCAGCTGGTACTGAGACGGGCTGAGGAATCGGCAAGAGGGGGTGGAGAAGGGGAGAGAGGGGGTGTCCTGGGAAGCTGCGGGGGTACAGGGGGCGGCCGGCGTGGCCGTGAGCAGGGCCCGGGAGAATGAATGGAGGCGGAGAGAGGCGGGGAAAGGCGGGGAGAGGGAGGGAGCCGGGGCCGAGAAACTGGTGGGGGAGAGCCCGGGGTCGGGGAGAGGGGGCGGGGGCACCGGGAGCGGGACTCGGGGGTGGGAGCCGAGGGGGCGCGCCGGCCAGTGGGGAAAGGAGCGGAGACGCGGTGGGGCTGGGGGGAGCTTGTGAAGGGGGCGGGAGGGGACCGGAGGAGGCCAGCAGGAGAGGCAGGAGCTGAGGGGGTCGCAGGGGGCGGGAAGAGGCCAAGGCCCAGACCTCCCGCGAGAGGGGCGGGCACCGGGTGACCTGGGGAGGGGCCTCGCGCTGTGCGGCCGCAGGAGGGGTGCAGCGGCCCAGGCGGGCCCGGGTGGGCGAGGCGGGGGAGTGGCCCGGCGGGGCCGGGAGTGCGGGGAGGCGGGCTCGGGCGGGGGGCTCGGCCGCGGGGCACGGGGGGGGCCCACCCTCCCATCAAGTCTGCGATCTGGGACGGGGCACCGGGGACCTGGGCGTAACCCAATTTGGCGTCGCCTGGGGCAACGCTCCCCTCTTCGCCCCCACCCCCAACCGCACACCCGGGCCCAGAGCCCGGCGCGCCGCCAAGGACGTCCGGGGCGCCCCCGCCCCCTCCCGCGGCCCCGGCCCCGCAGCTCCCCGGGCCCCCCGGTTCTCGGCCCCCTTACCTGCCTGGCGGGGCTGCTGGGTCCCGGTCGGCGGCGCCCGCGGCCCCTCCCCCCTCCCCCCACCCCCCACCCCCCCGAAGACGGGGGACCCTCAGGCCATGCCCCACCGCCCCGGAGGGCGAGCGGGCCGGGGAGGGGGCGGGCGGGGGCCGGGGGGCCGGGCGGGGGGGCCGGGGACCTCACCCCCCCCGCGGGCCGGGCTCTGCCATCCGCAGAGCGCCCCCCCTCCGCCGCGGCCGCCGGGCCCCTCCTGGCTCGCCCGCCTCCGGCTCGGCCCGGCCGGCTCCCGGCGCCGCGGCTCGGCCGGCTGGTCCTCCTCTTCCTCAGGCCGCGCCGCCCGCTCCGCGCCTCCTCTGCCTCCCTTCTAGCTCTCTCGCTGACTCTCCCTCACCCTGTCTCTCTCTCTCTCTCTCTCTCTCTCTCCCTACCTCCCTCCCCTCCCTCCGCCCTCTCCCCTCCCTCCGGGAGCCGGCGCTGGAGACAGTGCCCCTCCCCGCGCCCCCAAACCTCGCCCATCCCCCCACCGGCTCCACCCCTCCCCTTGCCCTCCCCCACCGCTCCTCTAAGACACCATACCCCCAACCCAGACTCCACCCCTGCTTGCCCCTGTACCTCGACGATGGGGCCCCGCCCCCTAAGGGCACCCCTCCACCTCCCCCAGGACTACGCCTTCTCAGAGCACGCTCCATCCCCCTACACACAGTAGGGCACAGGAAATATTTGTTGCTAGACACTACACCCCCAAATTGGATTTTGTGAGCTCCAGATTCCTGTCCTGTCCCCCCAAGTGTACACTGTCCCCCAAGGCACGGGCACATGGAGCCACTAGAAGGCTCTGCACATACAGGCATCCTCACGCACATAAACTCTCCAGGGCACACAGGGCCCCAGGCAGCTGAGTGTCCAAAAACACACACAGGCAGCTGCAGCAAGTACATATCACACCCATGTGCCGGAGCATACAGGCACTGCAACGCACACATATACCCACCCCACTCATGGGCATGGTCCAAAGTGTGCATGCTCAGATCTCCAGCTCGCGCACAACCCTGAAACAGAGGAAACAGAGACACACAGCTGTAGGGAGATGCGTGCATATATCCCCATCACACCCACCTCACCATCATCACACAGGTGTGCACAGACCCATGGAAACACATGACACAGTGCCATAGCTCTCCTCCTGGACAATTAGTGCTGACATTTCTTGAGCACTTCCGGTGTGCAAGGCTCTGTTCTGGATTTATTCATCAGCTTCTCACAGCAGTCCTGTGGGCTAGGGACTTTCACCATCCCCATTTTCCAGAGGAGGAAACCGAGGCACAGAGAGGCTAAGTAACTTGGTGCCCACGTTTGCCCAGCTATAAAGAGGTGATGCCAAGGTAGCCTGGCTCAAAGCCCTCATGCTGCTGTTCCCTACTAGGCACTCCATAGCTGCACAACCAGCTCCTCACAGCTTAGCTGGATGGTGCCTGGTACACACATCCAGAGCCAGTGCAGATCCCACAGGGCAGCAGTGAGAGCACCCCCATCACCCGTGCTCCTACAGCTCCAGGGCTGCCAGCCGGAGCAAAGCAGCTGCAGAGGGCAGTTCTGGGCGACCTCTGGAGGCACCTCCAGCTACAGGCTCCAGGGTACCATGATGTGAGCCAAAGCAGGTGCCAGCCCAGCCCCAAGAGGCCCCCCTCTGGATGCGCACCCCCTAGTCCAGGTGGTGAGCATCTGGGCCCCGGGAGAGAACAGCTGCCTGTGTTGGCATCAGCAGTGAGAGAAGCTGTGCAGCCCTCTACAGTTCATAAGGCCTTTCCTGTCCTGTACGTTATCTCTCGAGGCCTGTGGCCACTGGTGAGTTGTCCCCAGACCCTTATTCATGTGCACCTGAGAGGCCTGGACTCTGAAGTGGTGAGCAGCCTGCTCAAGGTCACGCTGCCCTCTGCTTTCTTGGAAAACTGGAAGGCCGGATGTGGTCATTTCCAAGCAGCTGAGGCAGTCTGAGTGCTGGCCCTCACTCAGAGGCAGCCCTGGACAGCCACTGACACACTAGTGACCTCCAGCAGCTCCTCTCTGAGCCTCAGTTTCCTCCCTTGAAGAGCGTGCCCTGCCATCACTGGCTAGTGAGTTCCATGCTAGCTGGCTTGACCAGCCTGGCGAGGCTGGGAAAGCCCTGAGTGACTCACGGGTCTGGCATAGAGTGAGTATGGCATGACCTCCTACTTCCCTTGCCTCTGCAGCCGCCCTCCCGCTGCCCTAGTCACCTCCACCCTAATTGACAGTCCTTCTTTCCCTTCTGTCCCTGCCTCAGGGAACTCGGGGTGCCACCTAAACACAAGAGTCAAGTCTTTGGTCTTTTGGCTAAGCTGTTACCCTGCCAAAAATGGCTACTTCCCTCCTCACTCAACAGATTGAGCACCTACTATGTGCTAGGCTGGCCCTGTTCTAGCCCTGGTGATACACAATGAACAAGAACGCCTGCCGTCATTGGCAGGTGACAGACAACAAACAAGTCAACAAATGCACAAGACAATGCCAGTCTTGATTATACCAAAAAGATAAAATGGGGTGTTTTAATAAAGTAACTTGCAGGAGTGCAGCTTCTTTAGATAAGAAAGTCAGGGAAGCCTCTCTAAACTGTGACCTCAGTAATGAGAAGGAGCTGGGGGCAGAGCCTTCTAGAAGGAGGAAAAGGCTGGTTCAAAAGCTCTGAGGTGGGAAGGAGTTCAGCATGGGGGGAACAGCCACAAGGCCACTGTGGCTGGGCCTGGGGGGCAGGGGTGTGGGGTGATGAGCTTGTGGAGGTGCCAAGGGCCCATCCTTCCCAGACCCCTGCTGGGTAGCCCAGGCCTGTGCTAAGGACAAGGTCTGGCGTTCCTCCTGCATCTGATGGGAAGCTGGGGGAGCAGGGGAGTGGGGAGTGATGTGATCTGATTTACGGTTTGGAAGCGCTGCTCTGGCTGCGGCAAGCAATGTGGATTGGAGGGGCTTGGGAGGAAGGAGGGGGAGAGCCAGGAGGAGGTGACTGCAGTGATCCAGGCGGCAGAAGAGGCACATCATTGAATGCTCAGAGCTCTATGAGCCCAGCCCAGCATCTGTCTACTCCACCTCCTGGAGAAAGCTTCCCTGACCCCCAGCACCCATCCTCCCCCATCCCTCTGCCCCAGCCTCTCACCCCACAGGACTGTCTGCTTGTCTGGAAGCAGCTGGAATCCCCAGTCAAGCCCCACCCAGGGCCTGGCCTGCAGGAGGTGTCCAGGAAAGTGCAACAAATGAATCTCAGAGCTCCACCTTCCAGGGCTGCACCCACAGCCAAACCTATGCTCTTCTATTTGTCCCCCACACACACACGCACACACACTCATTTGCATCCTGGGGCAAGGGCCTGGAGGGTGGGATGAGGGATTGGGGGCAGGAGGCGCCCTAGAGACTAAGACTAGTGGGAAAGTGTCCTCTGACAGGGTACGTGGGTGATGGTGGCCACGGGGTAGCAAAACCTTCTGAGACCCAGCAGTGTCCCTCCTCCCAAGGAGAGGCCATGGGGAGGAAAGGGGAGCAGGGCCAAGCCTCCAAAACCCCCTGAGGAGATTCCTGGGCAGAGGTTTTGTGTCCCTAGGACCCTGAGGAGGCCGGGCTCCATTCTCTCTCTGACCACCAAAGCTTTTGACCATGACAGAAGGAAGGAGGAGGGCGGAAGAGAGCTCTGGAAAGTGGTAAGGAGGGGTGTGGGGACACCCAAGGCGGGATCCAGGCTTTGGAACGTTGGAGGTTTCCGGCCACAGAGGCAGGGCCTCAGGGGAGCCAAGAGAGGCGGGCAGAGACACACACACAGAAGAGCAGAGACCAACGGACAGAGATAGGAGTTGGGAGGAGAGGGATCAGAGAGAAGCTGGGAGAGGTGGGGGCCTCGTGATCCGCACACAGTCCAGGCCCCAGAGACACCCGCTCCCCAGAGACATCTGTCTGCAGAGGCCAGGCTAATGCAGGCAGCCTGGCTCCTTGGGGCCCTGGTGGTCCCCCAGCTGCTGGGCTTCAGCCATGGAGCTCAGGGAGCTGAGACGGAGTGGGAGGGGGGCTGGGTCGGCGCCCAGAAGGAGGAGCAGGAGAGGGAGGCCCTGATGCTGAAGGTGAGTTGGGGAGTGCTGGACTCAGTGGGGGAGCTGTGGGCTTGGGGGCAGGGTTATTATGCCAGAGTCAGGGAGATGGGCATGGGGCATGAAGGGGAGGGTGGGTTCACAGAAGGGACTCTGGGGCAGAGTGCCAGCTTGGAACCGGAAAGGGGTGGCTGGGGCATGTGAGAAATGAGAATGAGGCTGATAGTAGGAGCACTGACCATCCCTCCCCTGCCACAGCATTTACAGGAGGCCCTGGGGCTGCCTGCTGGGAGGGGGGACCAAGATCCTGAGGGAACCCCTGAAGGCAAAGGGGCCTGGGAGACCCAGGAGGACAGTCAGGGGGAGGAAGAGGAGGAGGAAACAACGCCAACCCCCTCCCCCAGCCCCAGTCCCTCTCCCACCCCTGAGGACACCGTCACTTATATCCGTGAGTAATCATTAAGTCGGCCCTGTCCTAAGGCCTTCGAGGTCATTTTCTCAAAAATGTATCATCCTTTCATTGCCCGGGGACCTGTCAGTTGCCCACCTGTCCAGGAGCTCTGGGCCCTGGCCTCGTCTCCCCAAAGCCCGGGGCCCCTACAGCCCCTACCTTCCAGAAGCCTACTCCGCCCCCAGGAGCCCTAGGTCCCCCCAGGCCCTCTAGCATCCGGGCTCCGCCCCCAGGGTCCCCGGACAGCATGCATGCGCCCCGTCTGTCCTCAGTGGGCCGCCTGGCCGGTCTGGACGCAGGCCTGCACCAGCTGCACGTCCGCCTGCACGCGTTGGACACCCGCGTGGTCGAATTGAGTAGGGGGTTGCGGCAGCTGCGGGAGGCAGCAGGCGACACCCGAGACGCTGTGCAAGCCCTGCAGGAAGTGCAGAGCCGCGCGGAGCGCCAGCACGGCCGCTTAGAGGGTGAGTCCGCATCGGGCGGGGCGAGGAGAGAGGAACGAGCCGGTCAAGTGGGGGCCCGGAAATACCTGAGGAGAATCCTCAGGGTGTCAGGGGCGAGGGGACTCCTGGACATTTGGGGTGTGCTGGTATGTGGGGAACTTAGAGTAGCTTAGAGGGTGAAAGCAGGGAGCAAGCGGGCGGTGGGGGTGGCACGCTCCCCACCGTACGGTAGAGCTGACCCCACTCTGGCCGCGCCCAGCCCGCTACAGTCCAGTCCCAGCAGTCTGGCCCCGCCCCGACGGCCCTGACTCTCCACCCCCCTTGCTCCTCGCGGTTTTGACCCCGCCCCCTCAGCCCAGCCCCGGAGTCTTTGACCACGCCCTCTCCCCGCCTCCACTCCGCCCCGCCCTCAGGCTGCTTGAAGGGGGTGCGCCATGGACACAAGTGCTTCCTACTCTCGCGCGACTTTGAGGCGCAGGCTGTGGCGCAGGCGCGGTGTACAGCGCGGGGCGGAAGCCTGGCGCAACCTGCAGACCGCCAGCAGATGGAGGTGCTCACCCGGTACTTGCGCACGGCGCTCGCTCCCTACAACTGGCCGGTGTGGCTGGGCGTGCACGACCGGCGCGCCGAGGGACTGTACCTCTTCGAGAATGGCCAACGCGTGTCGTTCTTCGCCTGGCACCGCACGCCCCGCCCTGAGCCCGGCGCGAGACCCAGCGCCGCCCCGCACCCGCTCAGCCCGAACCAGCCCAACGGCGGGGCGCTCGAAAATTGCGTGGCGCAGGCCTCGGACGACGGCTCCTGGTGGGACCACGACTGCGAGCGGCGTCTCTACTACGTCTGCGAGTTCCCCTTCTAGCGGGGCTGGTCCCTGCCTCTCCACTCGGTCCCACCACCCTTTCTTCGACTGGGCTGTGCACCCTGCGAAACCCTGCTTCCTCTCCCTTCTGGACCGCGGATGGAAGTGTGTTCCCCCTGGCTGGGCGATCCCGGGGCTTCCTGCAGGTCCGAGACCCTTCCTTGCCCGTATCCTTCCTGGGAGCTGAGGGCTCCAGGCTAGGTGCAGCTCCAATAAAACCTTGTGGAATCTGACATAAGCGGGTAGTGAAGGCAGTTTTGGCCTTTATCTTGCCGCAGGGGAAGCTGGGAAAGGCAAGACCCTGGCCTTTGGAAACCTGTCCAGTCTCGGTTTTACAGATACTTTTTGAGCCCCAGAATCAAAGTGATGGCGAACACAAGTGCATATGTACATACAGTCACCCGGTCCTGCATACTGAAGCCCATGGTTTCCGTGACGCTGCTGCCATGGTGCCCACTGGCGTTTGGGACCCAGGGCCTGTCAATCATTGTTGCCTTGGCCTTCGTCCTGGTCGAAGAAATCTGAGAAACACAAAGACCTAAAGGCTCTTGACAATTTCTCTAAGAAAGAACCCCCATTTAATTTTGTCTAGTCTATTTAAAACTTGATTTGCCAGCTGGTTCCTAAGTCATGTAACATGGGCCCCTGCCCCACTGCCCCCTTTCCCTTCCCCTAGGGGCATGTGTTATGACACAAACTTAAGGACCTACCAACACTGGAAGCTTGGGCTCCCTTTCAATGCTTCCTCTTCAACTCCCTGCCTGTGAAGCCATGAGCCAGTCCCTTCCCCTCTCTGAGCCTCAGTTTCCTCATCTGAACATGGACACAATCAACTACCTTGTATGGCTCTTGGGACGTGCAGGTGAGCCCAGGAAAGTGCTCATTTGAAAAATGGCTGAACAGGAGTTAACAGGCTACCTTTCCTTCCCCACCATTTTTCACACCTTTACTCCCTAGGGCTGTGAGGACCCCCAGGAGTGGACCAGCCTGGGCCTTGGCATTGTGGATAGCACTCTTTGGGGAAGGAGCTCTTTTTTTGCTATCACTCCAGTGTCTTCCCCTGCACCCCCATACTGGCATCATGGTACTGATCCTGAGCCCAGGAGCCAGAGTGTGACTCTATCTGTCCCTACCTATCTGCCCCTTCCTCTCCCTCAGCCATGGCACCACTAGTCTAAAGTGTTACCATTGGATCCTTTAGTGGGAGAAATGAGCCACCCCTGTCATCTTCAGAAGGCAGGAACACCACACGTCCACTCCCCTCAGGAGTCATTTCTCATCCCCACTGGCCCCCTCAAGAGGTACAGAATGTGGCCTGCGGTTAGGAAGGCTTCAGTCAAGGAACTGAACACCTTGCTCAAAATTCTTCCATCTCTGAGCCTGTTACCCTGGGTGGAGGTGGAGCAGCAAGATGTCTTACAGGCAGCCAGAGGGCAGATTAGGCAGACACTGATGAGTATCTGTTATTGCCCCAGAAGGCACCCTCACAGACCTGACATTCTGAAAAGTAAGTGGGTGGGGCACCTCCATGCCCAGACCTCCCTAGGGTCAGCGTTAGCAAATGGCCCCTCCCTGGCTTTTGGCAGAGCACCGCAGTCAGAGAGCTCAGAACCGCAGATCAGAGAAATCCTCAGCAGCTGGTTGGGATCGATGCTTTAAGGAATCCCAGGGAAGTGGTGGAAGGAGGGCTTAAAGTCTGAAATTACCCCGTGGGAGGAAGAAGTGGGGACCCAAACAGGCTTGCCAGGACTACAAATCCCAGGAGGCCAAGCGGCAGGCCTGCCACCCACCCCCACCCCCTTCCCGGAACCACGTTTCCCATTAGCCATCGGATACCTAGTGAAGCATATCTCTCAAGACCCGCCCCCTCGACGCACACGGGCTTACCTAGCTTTCCCCTGCAAGCTTGAGGACCGCGCCCTTCGCTGGAAAGGCAGAGAGCAGCAGTCTCCAATCAGAGTCAGACCCCTTCTCCCCACCCATCGGGGCTTGCTCCGAGGTACCTTGGGAAATGTAGTCCCGACTCGCGTCAACGGATAGGAAAATCCCGAGCCTCAGAGTCCAACTCCCGCTTAGGTTTCGGCTGTAATCAGTGCTCAGATCTGTCCCAGAGTTTCTCAAAATGCAGGTGAACTTTCCCCGCGTAGATCACAGCCATTTTTTAAAAACTGTAGTAAATTCATAGAAAATATCAGAATGCATAGAAAATGGTATGTATTTCTCAAAATTTGAGCGTTTTGAATATGTACTGTGTTACAATATAAAATACAACATACTAAAATATACAACATAAAAATTCTTCCTTTGCCTGAAAAAAGTTTGCTAAGCACTGGTCTAAACCAACTTAGATTCTTATAAAACGAAACAAAATTAAAAAACCCTCTTCTTAAAATTTCAAACTTACAGATAACCTTCCCAAATACAAATAGTACTTTGTATATGCCCTTTGCCCACACTTATCTATTGTTAACAGTTTACCTCATTGCTTTAGCTTTATCATTGTCTGTCTATCTATCCATCCGTCTATCACTAATCTATCCATATTAACCCAATCGCCAGGGACAAACCAAGGTCAAGCAGTGCAGGAGACCATATCCCAAAAGAGGAGCTGTAATCTGACTGTAGGATTTGGGGGAAGAGTGGAATTTGGGTGCAGTTTCAGTGGAGCTGTGTTTTGACAGCCTCAGATCAAAGCAGGGATGTGTATAAATGAGTCAACATCAAGTCTGGACTGCAAAATGGACTCAGGGTCCTGTTTCCTTGGAAACCACAAAGTTAAGATAAATATGGCATGTGTGCCCAGGAACTCTTTCTACAGCTCTGCACCAGGGCTGGAAATTGAGGCTTCTTGCCTGTGTCAAAGTGGCTTAGATCTTCCATGCAAGAGTAGGATGTTTCATTCCAATGGATAAATTTTCGAAGAGCAGTTTCCAAAAGCCTATATTTTAGAGAACAAGTTTCTCAGTGAGTAAACTAACAGGAGTCACTCACAAAGGTGGTTGTTAGGACACTTTACAGCTGCAGCTTGTCCCTGGGGCTGGTTTTCATTTCTCAGTATATGCATATATATTCTGATGTGCTTAAGGGTTAGCTACACACATCATGGTCCTTTAGCCCTGAGTATTTGTGTGTATTTACTAAGAATAGAGATATTCTCTTACATAACCCCAATAATCAACCTCTGCAAATGTAACATTCACATAACGCTTTTATCTAATCTGTGGTTTTCCAGTTTTGTCAGTTGACTCAAATGTTGTCCTTCATTGCACTGTCCCCTTCCAGTTCAGGACCCAATCTGGGGTCAGTTGGTATTGCATTTAGGTGCCCTAATCTCCTTGAATCTAAACCCTTTCCAGATATTTGATAGGTCGAGAAAGCCACGGAAATGCAGGAGTTCTGATTGGTGACAGCAAGATTTAATAGAGGACTTCACTACAGAGGTAGCGAAGGGCTGAGTTGGAGGGACTACAGTGCCGAAAGGAAATAAGTTCTGGGGTTTTATAGTAATCAACCTTTAGCTAAGCAGATGTTCTCAAGGATCACGTTGGGTGATTTCCCTGTCTTAGTTAGCAGCACTTAAATGCCATGGATGTTCTCAGGGTCTGGGCAAGATGTTTTCCAGCTCCTCCTCTCTGGGCCTGTGATTTCTCTAAGAATTGAACTCAAAATATCACAATTCGTTTTCCTTTGCCTGCCTTCTCTACAATATTGACATTTTGGAAGAACAACACCCCACCACCCTTTTTTTCCTCCCTGAGATACAAGTTCCTCACTTGAGGTTGCCTAGTGTTACCTCGGGAAGATTAGATTCAGGTTATTCATTATGCACCGGAATATATGAGATGAGGTGTGTCCTTCCTCCTTAGGGTCGTTTGAGAGAAGTGTGCAACGCATAGACTAGCTTACATTGTTTTAATTCATTTTCCCATTGTCAGTGGTTCACCTTGAACACGACTCTGTCCTCCCTTCGCAGTTTTTTCTGGTGCCAGCCCGAGGCTCTTCATTCATTCATTGAACAATGTCTCCTCGGCTCCAGCCCAAGCCACCACATCGTGCTAACTGCCAGCCCGTGATTTCCAGCAGCAGGTTGCTTCTTTTCAAGGCACAGGTGGCTTGTATGAGCCGGGGCAGATGACAGCATGGGCTTGAGCTTTGGAAACTGCTGCAGAGGCAAGCAAACTCCTCCTCTCATTCTCTCTTCCCACCTGTTCCAAACACACCTGGACTTCGGGTTCTGACCACAAGCCACGGCAGCTCCTGGCAGCCTTGTGCACAGGAAGCCACAGCTGGGATGGAGCTGGAGGACAGAGGTGGCAGGAAGTGGAACAACAAGAGCTGTGCCTTAAAAACAATCTTTTTGGTAATTTTGTAATATGGGATGCATGTAAATTAATACATATACATCTGAGACAGATAAAATTATGCAATAAGAACATTGAGGCATAAAAGTCCACCCATTTACACACAACCCTGTTTAATAATCGGGCACTCCTGTGAAATTTCTATTTCCTTATCCCAGCCCTCGCCCCACACCTGTAACCACTCTCCTGAATTGTGTTTACCCTTCACTTGCTTCCCATGATTGCTTTAGTACATATGTATGTATTATTTAGTCTTGTTTGTTTTGAGTTTTACAGCAGTGGTGTCAGCTAGGGCTGCCAGAACGAGGAAACAAAGACTGGGTGGCTTGAACAACAGAGCTGTGTTTCTCTCAGTTCCGGAGGCCCGTAGTCAGAGACGAAGGTGTCGGCAGGTGTCAGTCCCTCCTGAGGCCCCTCTCCTGGGCTTGAAGACGGTTGCTTCTCTCTGTCCTCGCACCGTCTTCCCTCTGTGTACGTTCTCGGTCTGTCCAAATGTTCTCTTCTGATACGGACACCAATCAGCTTTCATTAGGGCCCCTCCCCAGGGCCTCATTTTAACTTAATCACTTCTCTAAAGGTCCTGCTTCCAAAAGGCAATCACATTCTCAGATGCTGGCGGGTTAGGGCTGTGCCATATGAATTGGGAGGGGTGCACAGTTGAGCCCATAACCATCTATATTACTGTAGGTCATATGCAGCTACTTAAAAAAATGAAAGGCTTTATTACTTTTTTAGAGAAGTTTTAGATTCACAACAAAGAGAAAGGGACAGGGATTTCCCATATCCCCACCCCAACACATTGACAGCCTCTGCCACTATCAGCACCCCCTGGCAACAGAGGGGTTACATTCGCTATAACTGATGAACCTACACTGAC